TTCCGCAGTCGCGCTCACCCTCGTATACGCCAGCCTCAAGCTCGATGCACCCGACGCAGGTCGGGTCATCATTGAGGACTGGCTCGCGAGTCGTAACTCGAGCGACACGTTTGAAGCGGGCGACGCAGAAAACTACCGCAAGGCTGTGGAGACATATTGTCTCCATGTCCTACCCAAACTCGAGCAGTGGGAGTATGCTTCCGAGTTTCTAGATTATGAGTCGGAGCTGCCGGCGGATGTCCGTGAGGTAGGCGATCTATCATTTCATTCGTTAACCCTGCGCCGAACCAATCACAGAGCATGAAATTGTCTTTGCGTACGCTGCATGCGCAATCAGTCGCCGCACGCCTCCCTCCTCCTTCACCTGTGTCCCCGTCCCCACCGCCACGCTCCTACTCACCCACACCGTCTTCTTCCTCCTCTTCCTCCCTCTCATCCACTGCATCCGCGCACACGATTGTGCCCCCAACTCCCCGGCCGCGACCGCGGACGAATCCGTCATCGTCCTCCTCAGCCTCCACCGCCACAGCAACTCCCCGCCGCACCACTCCCTCTCAATCTCTCCCCATCTCTCACCCAATCCAACGCAGCCCCCTTCCTCGCCTCCGCCCTCCTGCATCAACCGCGACGCCAACATCAACTTACACCCTCCTTCGTGCCGCCCTCTCCCCCTATCTCTCGTCCAAAACAAACCTCGCAGCAGCGGCCATATCATTCGCCACCTTCGTGCTCCTCCTTCTATGGCCGCTACTTGTCCGAAGGCGGCGATTGCGAACTCTACAAACGGTTGACCACGCAGATGCTGTCCGCAGACGTCTTGCAGCCGCCTCTGCGGCCAATACGAGCGCCGGCATGCTATCGCGTGTGGTTGCTGCTGTCATTAGAGTTGTTGGGGATACGATACGCATGGGCGGGAGTGGGTTGGTTTAATGCAATTATGTTACTTCGTTATACTATGGTTCAGTTATTTTGAGTGTTGTACGAGAAGTTTTGAACAATTGGCGGTGACGCATCAGCAATTCTTGCAAACGAAAAGATTTCGATCCCCCGAGCCTGAAAAACATAATTCTCTCTGGCCGACTGGCCCCAAAGACCAATGACGCGCTCTAGCAATTGAGCACGACTTCGCCAGTATCAAAAATTCGTGCAAAAGGAAAGTCTAAGAGCTACAGCTTTCAAAAAATACGATGCCCTGTAGGCGACTCGAACGACTGCCTCGTCATTGCGCTAATGCTATCGCCACGCAGCGCACGCTCTCCATAATTTGACTGAAGAACAATCATCAAAACTGCTGAAAAATTTGAACGACTGACCTCATCATACCAACCACTCTTGACTTTCCGCCGCAACGTGGCCACCTGAATCGGGAAATTTGATGGTACGTCAAATATTCAATCAATGATGGCAACAGTTGTGAAGCCCTCCTGCCGTTGTTTGGCCTTGTGAAGCTCGCCCATTGACAGCAACAGGACCATACAGCGCTCTCTCTCTCCCACCATGTCGCATCGTCTTCCTCGCCATCTGGTAAGCCCGCCTAGTCCCGTTCCTCGCCCTTTGCACTACAATGGCTAATCATAACCACAGATTCGTTCACACCCTCGCCAACGTCGACCCTGCTCGGAAAATGGCTGCGACTTAACCAACGTCAATAAGGACTGCTCTCGCCGCAAATGCAAGCGCCACTGTCTTTCTTCTGGCGGCTGCGCGTGCCATCAATCTCAGACGACTCCTGCTCTCAGTCCCGCCTTCAACCTCTCCACCTTACCGTTTACCGCTCCCCCACGCCTCCCTCACCGCCAACACGATGACCAGGAGTCTCGTTTCAGGCTGTCGCATCCACACTGGTTCCAGATGACTCCCTCTCCGCCTGCTCCTGCTCCTCAAGAATCTGTTTCCTTCACGCTCATCGATTTTGCTGAAAGCGGACGCCCCGGCACAGTACAGACCGTCACCACCTCGAGCGATTGGTGGATTCGCCCAGGCAACATGCCGTACGAAACGTACTCCACCACCTACCTCCGCTGGATGCCTGTCGAAGCTTCCTACGCCCATGAAGTCCGTCGTGGCCGCCGTATCCTTATCCGCGCTCCCGGCATTGACGGGTCGAATCAGGACCTCCACATCGCTACCCTTCTTCTAGAGGACGAGACTCTGAATACCCGTCTCGCCCCTCGCTCGTCTCGTCCACCGCGCCCGCTTCCTCGTTCTCCCACTCCTCCTGCCACTACAGCAGATCAGGCCATCCGTATCGCTAGCCTGCTGCTCGACCGTCGTGCCCCTCGTTTGTCTTCGTCTCGCCCACCGCGCCCGCTCCCTCGCTCGCCCAGTCCTCCGGCTTCTGCATCATCATCGAAGAGAAAGAGGTCAGCTACAGAGGATAGCGATAGTGAGGTGGAGATCATCGCTTACTATCCCGCCATCAAGCAGGAGAAATCTACTCCTCCTCGCTGTCACTTGCGCCGCCGTCTGTCTGTCTCCCAGCCCTCCACATCCAGCGCCTCCTCCTCGGCGACACCCTCGTCCCCTGATTTCCCACCCAGTATATCACTTCCCGAACGCGCCGCGCCCGAGTCCCATTCCACACGGTCATTCTAGATAGTATTGTACTTCTTTTCATTTGTATTCTCGTTCCGTACCGAGTAGTAGCTACATAGTTTTGTATCTCTTTACCCTTGTATATCTGTAGTGAATGAATTTCTCTTCTTCCTCTCCGCAATGTGTGAAGACGAAGACCGAAGCGAAGATTAAAGGAACCGGTTATCTTTCAGGTAAAGTGATTTCCTATTTCGGCTTAACGAGTTTTACCTTTGGCTTCGTCTGCATCGTGTCTCGCGATCTCGCCGGCATGGATACACACAAAGGACGCTTCAGACTCAAGCCCGCTTCTTCTCCGCAACCAATTACTGCTGTTCCGAGCTCGCCTATTGCTCCACCAACGATTGTCACATTTCGCGCCTTCGACCCTCCTCCGACGGCTCTCCCCGGCACCTACGAATCTGACTGCGCTTCGGAAAATTATAATCTCTCTTGGCGAGACTGGAACGACTTTGATCTTTGGCGGGTGAATGAACAACGGAATAATGCAATCGAGTTACGACTTGTCAAGACCTACGAAGGATTGCCGGAATACGAACGCCAACTTCGCTATGTCTGCTCTCGGGCTGGGACCGGCGGGCTAAAGGAATATATCAAAGCTCACCCCAATTGGAACCGCAAAATCGGCTCAAAACGTACCGAATGCAAATGCCGACTTTTGGTCAAACAATATCCTGGCGTTTCTACGATTCTGGGCAATTACTTTGATGAACATGACCATCCTACCGGAAACGCCAACATGCCGTTCTTGAGAATACCCCGCGAGACTCGAGAACATGTCGCCGGCCTTCTGAGGTTAAAGGTGTCGCCGGAACATATTGTACGCTGTTTTAATTTTGATTGAGCACGCAACTAATTTTGGTTAAGCTCCAGGTACTTCACCGTGACATCTATGACCAGGATAACCTATTTTATGCACCTGTTTCGCGTCCTCACTGTTTTCAGATGGCATCATGTCTTGAAAGACAAGTTCCTACACTCGAAGCGTAATCATCGACTTGACCATCTTCTCAACACGCTCATCCACTCAGTTCTCCCTTACTACGCGCTGAAGCAGCGGAGGCAAGACCTGGGTTTGGAAGGTCCGGATATGGAGGTTCAGAAGAGGAAGGACGTCATGGCCCGGAGCTCATCATATACGCTGGACGACGTCGTTTGGATCGAGGACGATGAAATTTACCAGATCAAGTCGCAATCGGATCCTTCAAGCGTATACGATGTCGACCTCGAGGCTTACACCTGCAACTGTCTCGATTACCCCAGCATCTTGTTCTGCAAGCACATCTGTGCGGTTCAGCGTCTCTTTGATGTGAAGACCAAGGATGAAGACAAACCAACTGTCCCACAAATTCCTAGCCTTTCAACTCTCTCGACTCAGCCTGAGGCTCCCGCTCCTCTCTCCACTGTCTCCGACCGAAATTCAGATGAATCTCAAGACCTCGCGGCCATAGCGGACCAACTCGAACGCCTGGCAGCGCGTCTTCGCTTTCCTCACAAGACACCCATCTCGGATGATGCAGTGGAGGGCCTGCGGTCAAGTCTTACCGCAATGTTCTTGGCAACCGACAATGTTTCGTTACTACCTTCGAAAGAGCGACTACCTCCGGTTTCCAAGAATAAAACTGCCCGAGAAACAATGATGCCTCAAGTGAAAACCAGACGCGTCAAACCCGGAAATGGCTACGGAGGTGGAGTAGCTAGTGGCTCTCAAGCGCCCAAAGCCAGCAAGAACAAGAAGGCAAAGACCGTGACAGCCCCGCCAATCCCTACATCGGTTCCACTGCTTCCACCGCAGCATCTACCGTTGCTACCTGTATCACTTCCACCCGGCTATCCGTCTTACCCGCCTATCCCTCATGCTGTCCCTCCGCCACTCTCATCCAATCATGCTCATACTATTCAACCGCACCCGAATCTGTATTACCCGTACTATTACTATCCTCAACCTTCCCCCTCATACTCTCAATCAGCTAGATAGATTCTCAATACATTATTTTGATTTGTTCACTTCAATCTTTCCGTCGCGACAATCACGCTAATTCGTCGCTGTGGACCAGAAATTTATTTGGGCCAACTCTGCCGTTGCTACAGACAGTCACACGAAGTTTCTAACGTGAATATATGTATATTCCCCCATGTACCAGTGGCTGGACAACTATCCCTAGGCCGCAAACGCCTTAACCAGGCTTGCTTGTTGTTGTTATGCTCAAGAGCTTGCCGGCGAACGGCTCAAGTCAGGATTGATGGCATCACATTCATGTATCATTTGATGGCACATCAAATTCCCATTCCGGGTGCGCACGTTGCGGCGGAAAGCGCGTAAGTCATACCAACAGGATACTAGTGATGCGCTCTACCCCTGAGCACAAGTACGGGAACTGCCAGAGAAAATTCAAAAAACGAAATTCCCGCTAGCCGATTTGAACGACTGACCTCATCATATCCACAAGATACTAGTGATGCGCTCTACCCCTGAGCACAAGTACGGGCAGAGAAAATTCAAAAAACGAAATTCCCGCTAGCCGATTTGAACGACTGACCTCATCATACCACAAGATACTAGTGATGCGCTCTACCCCTGAGCACAAGTACGGGAACTGCCAGAGAAAATTCAAAAAACGAAATTCCCGCTAGCCGATTTGAACGACTGACCTTATCATATCCACAAGATACTAGTGATGCGCTCTACCCCTGAGCACAAGTACGGGCAGAGAAAATTCAAAAAACGAAATTCCCGCTAGCCGATTTGAACGACTGACCTCATCATACCACAAGATACTAGTGATGCGCTCTACCCCTGAGCTAAGAGGGAATTTTTGAAGGGTTTACCTTCAATGGGACCCATCCCATGTGCGGGGGAAGTCACCAGAAGCAAAAACGAGCGAAAACGGCCAAGAAACGCGGTAACTGCGTGTTTTCACTCCAGAACTCTCAGTATACGCCTTCAGTAGCTTTCTACACCTACTCAAGCACCGACCATACATAAAACAGGTGAAACTCAACAGAGCTGCGCCGGATTGTGTCCCAATTCCAAATTGGGGACGATATTGATGATGGTCACACTGCGTGACCTGTCACTCATCACTTCCGCGCTCATTCTCTGCGCATGCATGAATGCCCACCAAGAACTGTCGCGTTCCCCTCCTACTCTACAAACTGTCTCTGGTACTTGATGTGCTGCTACTTCTATGATTAGTCTCTGCCTCCTTGCCTGAAGAGCTGTTCACTTGTCTCTATTAACTGGCTCACGGAAAAGCAGCTGCAAGACATGGTGAAGATTGTTGGATTACGGAAATGGATAGGCTGGAGCACTCAGTAATGTGAGTCTTACTTTGCCGAGTACTTATCCCAACATGTTTATTCCAGTGACTTCGTTACATCCACGTATGTAAGCGAACGCGTCGCTGTGACTTGACGCGTTCAGAATTCACGGACATCCGTGAATTCCTCTCTCTCTCCATGTCAAGCTCGCTTCCCCACTGCTATTCCGTCTCCAAATTGAAACCTCAGCCGTCGTCGTCGGAAGCAACTGCCCTACCCCCGCTCTCCCTTACTTCAACGTCGTGTGTTCTGAGCATGGAGCCAAGGTGCGATGACGCGACTATGGCACCCGCGTCGAACTGTCGTTTTCCTCAATGCAGTCGATCTAGCTTGGATTTAGAAAGTGCATCCCCTCTAGTTTGAACGTGGTGTTTTGAACACTGCTCGCGTTCTTGGTGAGTACGGCCATCAGTTCAACGCCTTTTCTTTTCGCTTACTTTCTGCACGCAGCCGGTATTCATTCATAACTCTCGGCAAGCCTCGCCGCACAACTTGGATATCGCAACTGATCCTTGTTGCAGGGATTGACTACGGCGGCGGGATTGGTGAGGCGATGGGAGGGGGTAGCGCGTGGCGATTCAGCCGTCGAAGTAGCACAGTGAAAGTAGCCTGTATCTCTATAGGATAATGCAATTGGTTCTTTGCAATTCAACGTAAGTTCCCCAACCCCTTGAGCTGCATCAAACCGTCTGTCAATCTCGAACTAACTGGAGTTGTATAGCACACGCCGAAAAATTGTCCACCGTGGACAATTCTCAACACGGTGCACGTGAATTTCACGTGAAAACTCACTCGCGCTGTTTACTTTGCTGAAGCGCGGATTGGTGGGAATATTTCTTCTTCTTCCGATGCCCAGCGGTCCTCCACGCATTTGTCGCTCTCTCCAATGCTGAGGGTATACCGAGCTCGATCTCGGGTGGACAGCGGCGTGTGACCACCGTGACGGCCTCACTTTCTCTCTTTTTCTTCGACGGAGACCGTCGACGACCTTCTCTGCTCTCCCCTTCAAGTTCATTATCACTCAACCTACAAGGCCCGCTCTCAGTAATCACCTCGAGTATCAATGCCTTCCGATGGAGAAAGAATCCGCATGAGAATGCATGGGCTTTAAATCCAGTGTGTAACAAAACTCTCCTTGCGATCGAAACGCCCTCATGTTTTGAAATTTCTATCCTCAAGTACCAGTAATTCTTTCAAATTTCAACCTGACTCACCAACGGTACGTCCAACCCACTCCGTCCAGGCAGGTTAGACTTCATGTCGCCGCCCATGATCCAAAGCTCGACTACCATGTCAGCTACCACAGTCCATGGGGCTGACTTCATGTCGCCTACATACTTTTTTTTCTCAACCGTAACGGCCATTTTCGTATACTACGTTTTTCTTCCAAGATTGTCCTTTCGCCCCAATTCACAACCACCGCGTTCCTATTTATCTTGTTTTTTTGTACACTGCGCGCTACGATACAACAATGGGCACTCTACGTATTCTTCTGTACGCTCTTTTCTCTCCAGGCTCGTCGTGCGCCCCAGCGAGATTGAATGGCCGTGAGCAAGATATTGTCGATATTCGTTGGAATGTGAGTGATGATGCGTTGTCACTTTCCCTATCCTCACTTGAAATTCACAGAATAGCCTTCTTTTCTGTTGTTTTCGCGAGAAACGACTTTCACTCTGCAGGGTGTGTTTTGTGTATTCATATGCGACCTTTTCTGATTTTCCCTAGAGTACACTTCTCAAAGCACACGCGTCCATCTCACTGCCCTTGCCGAATCCCCATTGCGGACCTCTCTCAAGAACATCTTTATTTCGCCTCGCCCTGGCCTAATCGCCGACGGACGACTACCCAAATTACCCATCTTCAAGACATCCCGTGTGCGCCTGGGGCAAGACGTGCAAACGCACACAATTTCCGTAGTCGCATTTTTCGGCTTCGGCGTACTCACAAGAGTCACAACAGCCGCCAGCCCATCAGCCACATTCGTGTTGTTGACACCGACATTCCGACGCCGTTGCTCAATTGGACATACGATGGAGGTGTAGACGAAGGCGGCGTAGCAGGTGGTGCCGGTGAAGGTGGAGGTGTTTGAGGCTCACAAGATACGAGGGGTGTCTGTTAAGGCGTCTTCACTCCTTCCCTGCTTTCACGCTGAGTCTTCCTCGGCCCTCTTGTCTCTAGAGTAGCACTTGGCCCCAAAACATGTTGGTGTGTTGTCAAATGCTGAAGCCACAAGTCCTGAATAAACAGTAAACCACGTCGCGTAGACAGACGCGTCTCGGACCTTCGGACGGTCAAATCCTCCAAAACGAGAGCTCTTCTTGACGGTTTGGGCTTCCGATATGAATTTATCCGGGCCTTCTTTGTCTGTCAACCCGCTGTCAAGTCATTAAATATACAATATCTTCTCTGCACAGTGATTTGATTTCACGGTAAGTCTCTTTCTTCCAGTATTCATTGCTTCAAGCTGAATTGTTTTATCGTGCAGCATTTCATCAACGCGCAGGATTTTGTAGACTCGGCATAGACCTAATGCGGTCTGCGTGCCCTTTCTGCGAGCGGCCTCAAATTCAATCACAATCCTGTTCGGCTCCTTTCGCGCATTCACAGTGACGATCTCAGTTACTCATACCATTTTAGGACACCAACTTCCGTCTGGATGTGCTTCTTCTTCGCATCTAATGTGCCGCCAGCTCCAAGATCTCGATGTGAAGGGCAACAGATCTAGTTTACGACGATTGGACTGAAATTCACAGGCACGAATTATTTGAGATCTTCTAATTGCCGCTCATCTCTTTCCTTTAGGTTTCGCGTACCCTCTGTAGTGCCTTAGTCATAGTCGTCTGCCCACCGTTGGTCGTCCTAGTCGTGGTTGTGATAGACGACGAATTCACCATCCACGAATCAGTGAGTCTCAGATATCTTACTGTTCAATGTCTGACGGCGCTCTTAACAGCTCATGTAAAATGTGCTGTGGCCTTAATATACTCCCTGCATATTCACAAAAAACAGTTGAACGTTTTGAGTCTGAGTTTGGGCTCGTTTTTCTTTCATGGTTGCATTGAATATCATACCAAGTCCCTTTGGCTGTCGTGTCGTCTGAAGTCATCGATGATGGCTTCTTCGGGCGAGAGCCATGTCCCAATCGGGCTACCAGGAATTTATTAAATATTTGCAAGAATTTATTCGATATGACAGCGTCAAATCGAGGAATTGGGTCCATCCATAGCCTCGTATACCTCTGCCCCTCCTACCCCAGCCCTTCGTTCTTTCTCTCGATTCCATGGCTTCCTCCTTCAATGCCGGCTCGCTTTCATCCAAGGTGTGTCTTATCCTCTTCGTTCTGTCGTGTCCCTTAGTTGTTCCTCCTCTCCCATCCCTAGAAGAGCGCGACGAGCGCGTCTACGACGGCCTTCAGTGCCGTGGCTGGGCCATCTTCAGTTGGCGCGTCATTGATGGAGGTTGACGGCGTCGAAGACTCTGAAGACGCGTCTGGGTCGTTGTCTGCAGTGACGGTGTGTCTCTCATTTCCTCCTTGTTCCCTGTCTCTTCCTCCTTTTCTCTATTCTTCATTTCTGTTCTTGTTGTATTACCATTTGAACCACGCCGGTCCCAGCAGAAGAAGAGCCTGAAGCGGAACAGGGTGCGTTCTCTTCTTCTTCACTCCTTCTCCTTGGCTCATTGACGCGATTTTCTCTCTCTTAGACGAGCACTGCGTCGCAGGAGCTTTCGGTGCGCGCCTCTCTCCTTCGCCATCCTTTCTCGCGTTTAACGTCGCGTTGCCACGTGACCGCGCAGGAAAACGAAAATGTGCGCATTTTGTTCTCTGCGCTTTCTGACTATACTGACTCCTCATATAGGCAGAGAACTACGGCTCTTATGATTCCCCAAGGAAGACCGTGATTCTTTCTGTAAGTTTGCCTTCATCTCCCCAGCACATTCTCCAACCTTATATTGTTGCGCGTAAAGAAACGAACAAGCACAGGTAGAAAGAAAGGGAACGAGAAGGAGAAGGGAAAAAATGTAAGACTCACCGTTTGTGACCCAAATCTCTCTGAGATCTGTGTGTTTGACAGCGAACAAGAGCGGTGAAGCTTACGACGATCCCGGAGGTACGTTCTGATATCTTTCTTAATTCTCTCAACCTGACCGCAATGCGCAGGATGAGGATA